CTTGTTTAATCCTTTCGGGGTGGGGTAAAGTTATCTTTTGCCGGTGTTCCCCACTCTTTTTGTCCCCTTTTGTTTTTGTGTCCACATGGGCGGGGGGGGGGCCCAACAACTCCTTTTATGCTGGGATTTTTTATTTTTTTGGGGGGGGGGCCAGGGCTGCCCCAAGGTTTTTGTTTTTCACCCTTTTTCTTTGGTAAGGGTTGTTTTTCTGGTTCATTTATTTCTTGGCCGCTTTGTTGGGGGGGTATTATTGGCGGAAAAAGTTTGGTTTTTTTCCAATTTTTTTGACCCGGGTAGGGGGGGGGGGGGGGAAGTCATGGGGCTAAAAGGGTTAATTTGGGGTTTTTTCCATCTTCCATTTTTTTCTTCTGTTTTTCCTTTTTAATTGGGGGGGAAGAAAAACTGTTTTGGACAATAGTACATGGCTTTGTTTTGCCTTTGTTCTTTAAGTGGGGTTTGGGGTTGGGGGGTGGTGGGGTATTTTTAGGGGCGCTATTCCTTCCGGGAAATTTATTTTTTTTTTTGGCACCCGGGCCCCCCCAAAACCCACCCATTTTCTTTTTTTGGGGCTTTACCCTGGGCGGTAAGGGAGGGGGGGGGGGTTTCTGGAATACCCCTTTTGATTTTTTTTTTTTTTTGGGGTGTTTTTCATTTTTGCCGGGGGGGGGTGGGAGCGTGGGGGGGCCCCCAGGTGGGTGTGCGGGGGGGTGGAAAATAAAGAAAAAAGGAATTGGGGGGGTTTTATTGGGTCCTGGGGAAATATATTGGGATAAAAACCAGGGGCTCATTTTTCTTGTTTTTTTTTTTCATCCCCAACCCAGGCAACCCCTTCCATCGTAAAAAAGCAAATTCAATTATTTTCAATGGGGGGTGGGTCTAAAAAATAGGGGATATCCGGGGGGGGGGGTGCTCTTTTTCCGGTACTTTCTTTTTGTTTCCCCTTAATTTTCAATTTGGCGTTTTTGGGAAAAAAAAAAAAAAAAATTTTTTTGGCTAGGCGGGGTTCCCCCCATACCAGGGGCGGGGGGCTTTTTTTTTCTCACAAAAGGTTGGGGGGGGACAGGTCCCAGGGGGGGACTATAGCCAAATGTTTCATAGGGGGGGGAATGGGGGGGGACAATCCCCAGGTTTTTTTTTCCCCTTTTTTTTTTACCACTTTTCTTAAAAGTTTAAAAAAGGGGCCTTGGTTCCCAGGGTTTGGGCATCTTTTTGAAAAACTTAAAAAACCTCAACCTTTTTTTTTGTTAAACCCCCTTTACCGTTTTCGAATTTGGAAATAAAAATGGATTGGGGGGGGGGGGGGGGGGGGACCCTCACAATAGAGTTCAAAACTGCCTGTTTTAGACTCAATGCTTACGGGACGTTGGCTCACTTATTTTCAGGGTTTGCACCATATTCAGTTCGGGAGGACATTTTTACCTCAATTATGTGCTGGCATGGCTCTAACGTCCTCAGGTCAGGTGGGGAGCAGGTACGGAGGTTCCACTTGGCTTAGCCGGAGGGTCTGTTAGGGCAGCAGAAGAAAAACCCCCCCCCACCGGGGGGGGACGGGGACCCAAAAATCCTTCTTTGTTCCTCCAAAAAAAAAGGGGCCCAGGGGGCCGGGGCTTCGTTTGGGAAGGGGTTTTTTTCTAAATTTTAAAAATTTTAGGGGGTTTTCAATCAAAAAACCAACAATTTTTGGCTTTTCCATTTTTTTTTCTTTGAGGTCACATTTTTTTCAAGGGGGGGGGGAAAATATTTTTTTCTTTTGGCAAAAAAAAAAGGCCTTTTCTATTTGAAGGGGGGGGGGGGGCTATGGGGGGGAGCCCGAAGGTGTTTTTTTTTTGGGGGGGGGGAGGGGGGGGGCCACATATGGGGGGGGGTGGGGGGGGGGGGGATGGAGGGGGTCCTTGTTTATTTGAAATTTTTTTTTTGTTTCCTTTCCATTTTTTTTTTTTCATTAATTTCCCACGCCCCAACCCCCATAGGGGGGGGGGGGGAATCCATTGGGTGGGGGGGGGAACAGGGCCATCCAATTGTTTATTCACACATGGTTCAATAAAGGGGGGTTTGGGAAAAGGGGAGATTTAAAACAAAGGGATAACAATTGGCCTTATGGTTTTTTCAGGTTTTTGTTTTTTCCCTGTGCGGGGGTTTTTTTTTTTGCTTGTTTCCGTTTAATTTTTTTTAAAACCTTTTTTAAAAAAAAAACCGAACTTTCTTTCTCATTTTATTTTTTTTCTGTGCCTACAATTTGTTTTAATATTCATCTTGGGGCTTTTTGTTTTTCCCATATAGCCATCGGTGGAGGCACCCGGTGTTTTTTAAGTAAAAAAAAACAAGGGGGGGGGTGCTCTTTTCCGAGGTGGGGGGTGTTCTTTCCCATGAATAAATCCCCTTTTTTTTTGTTTTTTTTCTGGCCTTTTGGGTCAAACATCCCGTGGGAAACTTTTTTCATTATTCTTGCCCTGAATTGTTTTGGTGCAAATTGGGCCGGAAAAAAATATATCCCTCAAAAAGGCGGGTGGGGGTGGGGGGGGGGGGGGTGGGGTTCAACAAGGGCTTTTTTTTTTTTTTGCTGGATTTTCGGGCCCCTCGGGTAAGGGGGGATTTTGGGGAGGGGGGGGAGCCCAGAGGGTGGGTGGGGGAATGGGGGATACCCCTTACTTTTTGTTTTCTTTACCCTTTTTGGTTGTTTTTTTTTGTGCCTGGGGGCCATCTTTTTTCTGTTTGGGAAATAATAAAAGGGGGGGGCCGGCCACATAAACCCCTGGGGGGGCCACATTTTTGGGGGGGAGGGGCCCATTTCCAACATAACGCGGGGGTGGGGTGGGTGGGGGGGACAATTTTTCGGCTATAAAGGGGGCGCAATTTGGGGGGCCCCCCCACCACAAGGGTTTTCTTTTTTAATTAAACAAGTGGCCAAAAAAAAACCCTTTTTTCACTGGATTTTTGTTAACTCTGGGGGGGGGGGGAAATTATTTTTGGGCTTTGGGGTTATTTAAGGCCTTGGGGGATTAAAAAAAGTTTTATCCACGTTTTTTTTTTTTTTTTTTTTTTGAGAATTTTTTGTTATGGCCGGGCCTTTAAAAATAACCCCCTCCAAAATTTGTGGCTATTCCGGTTTTTTTCCCAAATTTTATATTTTCCTGAAATTTTTCCCAAAAATTCCAAACTTTTGTTGGTTTTTTTAACCGTTTTGGCTTTTTAGGGATTTTTCCCCCCACCACATGGGTTTTTTAGAGCCAATTGAGCTTTATGGGGGGGCTAACGGGGGTTTCCCTCTTTCTTTTTGTTCCCCATAGTGTGTTGTTCTAGGGGTTTACCAAAAAATGGGGGGGGGGAACGGGGGGGGTGGGGAACAATTTTTTTTTTTTTTTTTTTGTTGGGGGGGTACTGGGGGGGGACCAGTTTGGGGGGGGAGGTGGGGGCCCCAGGGCGTAAAAGGGGTGGGGGTCCTTTTTTGGCTGGTATTACTTCGGGGCCCCCCCAAATTTTTTTTTTCTAGTTCTTTTTTTGGCAATACGGCTTGTGGCATTGTTTAAAAATTAATAACAAAAAAATTTATTTGGGGGGCCCACTTTTTGGGTTCGGGTTTCCCCACAAACTTTTTTGGTTACGGGAGGGGTCTTGAAAGAAAAAGTTGTTTTTTTGGAAATTTTTTTTATCTTTTTTCCATGTTTAATACCCTTTTTTTTTTTTACAGGGTTTTTTTTATTCTTGGGGGGGGGGGGGGGGGGGACCAGTTTTAAATCGTCCAGGAAGTATTTCCTGGGAAGTTTTTCCGGGGAACTTTTTTTTTTCCAATCCAAATTTTTTAGGGGGGGTGGGGGGGACCTTCCTGAACTAAATGCTTGGGGCAAAACCAAAAAACATCCACCAAAAAAAAAATCTTTTTTAAAATTTTGTTAAAACATTCCTTAATACAATAAAACAATTTTTTTTTTTGAACAGGTCATTGGACCCTTTGGTAAGTTTCAAATGGGCCCACCTTAACGGGGGGGGGGTTTTTTTGGGGTAAATAGCGATTGCGGGGGGGGGTGGCTTTCCAAGTGGATGCATTTCCTCCCTTATGAAATTTCTTTTTTTTTTTTGCATGGCCCTTATATGAAAAAAAAACCCCACCCCCCCACCCCCTTGGGGGGGGGGCAACTTTTTTTTTTGCTTTTAGGCCTTGATACACTTTTTGGGTTGTTTCCCCTTCTGGGGTTGTGTAAGGGGCTTTGGGCTTTCCATGGATTTTTGGGCTTGTGGTTTTTCCGGGGGGCCTTGGGCCTGGGCACTTTTGGAAAATTTTTTTGGCCCCAGGTGGGGGGGGGGGGGGGTGGGGTGGCCCCCCCCTTCCCTTATTTTTTGGGGATTATATTTTTTCCCGGCAAATATAAAAAACCCACCCAACCCCAGGGGGGGTTTTCGGGGGTGGGAACAAACATATATATAAATAAAACCCCCAACAACTTTTTTTTTTTTTTTTTTACAAGGATATAAAAAGGGGTAATAAAAAAAAACCCTTCCAGGGGTTTATTTTTTTTCTTTTTTATCCCCAATTAATTTTTTTTTTTATACAAAAAGAAGGGGGGGGGGAGGGGTGGTGGGGGTGGGTGTGGGTTGGGGGATACTGGCCCAATTGAAACAGGGGTGGGGGGACCCGGTGTTTTTGAAAATAAAAAAAAAACATAAAACGGAGGGCAAATTTTTTTACCCCAATTTGGGGAATATTTTTTTAAAATGCGTGGACAGGTGGGGGGGGGGTTGTTCCGGGTGGGGGGTGTTATTATTTCGGGGGCCCCCTCCACGGTTTCTTTTTAAAAAATACAAAAAAAACATAAATTTACAAACCCTGGGTCCCATGAACACAGTGAGGGGGGGGGGGTGGGAAAAATAAAAATATTCTTCAAGGTTTATTGGGGGGGGGAATAAAAAAAAAAATAAAAAAACCCCCCCCACCAGGGAGGGGCGTTGGGAAAAAAAAATATCAAAAAAAAAAACATGTTTTTTTTTTGCACAAAAAAAACCCATCAAAATACAACCCAACACCCAAATCCCCAAACCCCAACCCCCCCCAAAAAAAACCCCCACACCAAAAAACAACACCACCCCCAAAACCCCCACCCCCCCCACCCCCACCCCCCACAAACACCCCCCCCCCCCCACCCAACAAACCCACCCCTACAACAACCCACCAAAACCCACCCCCACCCCCCCCACAAAACAAGACGCTCTTTTCCACCCCCACCAAAACCCCCCCCCCCACCACCAACCCCCCCCCCCCCCATCAACAACCCCCACCCCCAAGGGGGAACGGGGGGGCTTCTCCCCACCCCCATACCCCCAACAACCCCCAACACCCCCAACCCCACCACACCCCCCACAGGGGAGGGGGGGGGGGGGGGGACCGGCTTCCTCACCCCCCCCCAATCACCCACCCCCCAAACCCACAAAAACACACCCCCCCCCCCACAAGGGGTGGAGAACGGGCTTTCTCCCCCACCCCCACCCCACCCCAACCACCAAACCCCCCCAAACTAACAAAAAACCCCCCCCCACCCCCCCCCACAACCATCCCAGGGGTTGGAACCGAGGGGGCTCTCCACCCCCCCCCCACCCCCCCCCAAAACAAAACATCACGTCTCCCAAACCAAAATACCAATGTGGGGGACTTTGTTCCTTTTCCCACCCAACACCCATAAGGGGGCCAATAAAAACCATTATTTCATTAAATGTTTTCTTTTTTTCACCCCACAGTTTGGGGGGCGGGGTGGCCCAAAAAACCGGGGGGGTGGGGGGGGTTCTCCCCCTAACAAAAGGGGGGATAATTTCACAAAAACCAGGGGGCTTCCACTTGCTTTCCTTTGAGGAAATCACTTGGTGGGGGTGTTACAAAAGGGTGCGGACCCCATACCAAATTTTTGGGTTTTTTTTTTAGGTTTGTTTGGGGTTTTTTTGTTTTTTTTTCCATTTTTTTTATGTTTGGTTATTTTTTAATCAAACATAAGGGCCAAAAAAAAACCTTTATTTTTTCCATTTTTAAAACAAGGAATTTGGGGGGGGGGGGGGTGGTGGAGGGGTGGGTGGGGGGGGGGTGTGGGGTGGGGGGGGGGGGGGGTTTGGGGGGGGTAACTTTGTCAAACTGGGGGGGACCAATGTTTTTTTTCCCCAAAAAATTGGTTGTTATGGGAAAAGCTTTTTTAAAAATTATTGTTTTTGTCTTATTTCCAAATTAATATTATTTTTTTTGTGTTTGGTGTGGGGGCGTTTAAAAAATAATCTAAACAGATTTTGTTTGTGTGCGTTAACAAAACCCCCAAGAATTTTTTTTTGTGGGTGTGAAGGGAGTGGTAATATAAAACCCCCAAGGTTTGTGGTTTGGCGGTGGTGCGTAAAAAAAAAAAATCCATAGGATTTATTTTGTATGGTGTTGGTGGGTTTTTTTTGTTATTTTTTTTGGGGAGGGGGGGGGGATATCCCCATTGTTGTTTTTGGTATTCTTGTTTAACAAAAACAAGTATCCCAATATATTTTATTCGTGGTGTAAACAAAATTTATAACCCCCCACTCCGTTGGTCCGGTAGAGGGGAAGGACGGGGAAAAAAAAAAAAATAAAAGGTGGGGTGGGGGGGGGCCCCTAATAGGTTTCTGCTTACTAGGGAAAAAAACCCCCAGGGGGGGGGCTCTTGATATTTTTTGACAACCCCCCCCAACGGGGGTGAAAATGCTTTCTCTATTTTTTTTAGGGGGGACCCCCCCACTAAAACCTCTTTTGGGGCGCCATAATTATAGCGTGTGTTCCAAATAAGGGATTTTTGTTTCCGGTAAGGGGTGGTTATTTGGGTTGGGTTTTTGTTTTCCCCCCCCAGCCCAGTTTTTTTTTTTTTTACCCAAACCTCAGGGGGGGGGGGGGGGCCAGGAATGGGTATGGGCGTTTGTAGGGTCCTTTGGTTTTTTTATACAATACGGGGCCACAAAGCAAAAACCCAGCCCAAAGGGGGTGGGGGGGGAGGTTTTTGTAAGGGCCAACCCTTTGTTAGTTGTTTGTTTAAGACTTTTTTTTATTCCAGGATTGTTGGGGGGCCAAATAAACCCCCAGGTCCAGGAGGGGGAGGGGGGGGGGGGGACTTAAAGGTGGTGTGAAAGGGCCCCAAAATTTTTTTTTTTTTACCGTGTTAAAGGGAAAAAAGGGGAGCCCAACCAAATCATTAAATCTAATGGGGCTGGGGGGCCACATTACCTAAAACAAAATGCCATCCCCATAAACCCCTTTAAAACCCCCCCCCCCCCCCCAACGCGGCCGTTAACGGGGCCCCCCACCACCGAAAAAAGCAGGTACACGGGGGGGGGTCACCTCCCCACACCCCAACACCCCCCCCCCACCCCACCCCCCAACAAAAAAACACCCCATAACCAACAATTGCAATTCTTGTGGTTCGGAAGGCCTGTGGAGGGGGGGAGGGGGGGGAGGTTTTTTGTGTTTTGGCCATTTTTTTCTTTGCTCATGGCGGGTCAGGGGGGGGGGTTTTTTAATGTTTCTATAAATTTGTTTCATACCATAACATTTGGGGGGGATAAAAATGGGACAAGGTGAAATATTTATTGGGGAACTCGTTTTTTTTAACAGGTCTTAAAAAAAATAATACATGGGTGGGGGGGCTTGGGGAACTCGGGGGGACGTCTACCCGGTATTTTGGGACGGGGTGCGGGGGGCTTCTTTAAAACACCTCTCGGGCTTTTTCCTTTTTCAAATTAAAACCGCTTTTCCCCCCCCACCCCGGTTAACTTTTTTTTTAAAATTCCCCCAAAATTAGGTGTGTAGGTGCCCCTTGGGGTTTTTATTTTTCTTAACCGGGGGGGGCCCCCCAAAGGTCGGATTTTTAAACCTGGAAATAAACAAATAATTTTTTCTTTTTTTTTTTTATTTCAAACGTTGATTCCAAGGGCTGGGGTGGGGAAAAAATTCATTTTCCCCAATTTATGGTGGGGAATTTCCGAAAAATGGGGGGAATTTAAGCTGCTTTGTTTTCAAAATAATTCTTCTTAACCCCCCAAGGTAAAAAATAAAAAAAAAAAAATATTTTTTCCAAGGGGGGGTGGGTTTTTCCAAAAAAAATAAAAACCCCCAGTGATCTAAGGGGTCGGGGCAAGGAAAATATAAAAACAAATAAACTGGGTTTAATTTCTTTTTAATTCGGGGAATACCCATTTTTTGGGTGGGAATTTTCAACAACTCCACCCTACTGGGTCATTGGCGTTTTTTTTTTAGGATTAAAAATAGGTTATATATAAAGGTTTTTTTTTTGGACTACCCCCATTTTTATAAAAAAAACCCCAAAACCCATAAAAAAAACCCCCCATCCCCAAACCTCTTTTATAGCTTGATTATTTTAGGAACAAAAAATAAACATAAAACCACCCAAAAACCCAAGACATAACATTGTTAGTTCCCCCAAAATGTATTAAAGTGGGGGGGGGTGGGGGGGGGAGGGGGGAAAACCCAGATTTTACTTTTTGCAATTTTTTGTAATTTGGTAAAGGGGGGGGTGTGGGGGGGGGGAGGGGGAAACAAGGGGGGGGGGTAACCCCCCCCCCACTCACAGGGCAAAGGTAGGGGTTTGGGGATTTATAATGTTTTATTTGTTTCCTTGGTTTTGTTAACCGGCTTCAAGGACCTTGGGGTTTTTGTTAAATAAGCTGGGTTTTTTTATGGGGGGGGGGGGCCATGTGTTTTTAGGTGGGCCGGTGGTTATGCCGATTTTGTTCCCGTATTAAAAAAATGTTAAAATTGCTACATTTGGGTTTCAAAAAAAAAAAAAACCCCCCCAACCTCCAGGTGGGGGTGGGGGACTTTTTATTTTCTTTTTTCGGGTTTTTTTTCTGGGGGGGGGGGTCCTCTATAATCTTTTTTTTTCTTGCTTATGATTGGGCCTTATTTTTTGCGATTCTTTTTTCATTTTTTTCCCTCGGGGGTTTGGTTCCAAACCTTTTTTATAAAGCTTTTTTTTAAAAAACCTTTTTTTTATTTTTTTCTCTGCAATTTTGGGTTTTTCCCATTGGGTTTGGTGGGGGGGGGGGGAATATTATTTCATTTTTGTTCTTTGCCTTCCCTTTATACTTTCCTTTACAAGCGTGGCTAAGGCCTACCATCAAAAAAAAAAAAAAAATCCCTCCCTTTTGGGGGGGTTTTTCTTTCTGGGGTGGGGATATCCATCGGGGAAGGCTTTGTTTTTTTTTCTCCGCTGGGGTATTTTTGGTCTTTCTTCCCCTCAAAAACAAAAAAAAACTTTTGGGGGGGGGAGGGGGAATAAAGGGGGGGTTGGGGGTTGCCCCTTTTTTTCATTTCCATAGGCTGTGGGGGGACCAATAAATAAGGACATAACAATCACTTTGGGTGGGAGGTTTGGTTTTCCGTTTTTTTTCGGGACGGGGGGTGGTTCCATGGGGGGGGGGAATCGGGAGGGGGGGGCCAACGGTTGTGGGTTTTGGGTTTTGGTGTTTGGGGATGTATTTTTTTGTGGCAATACAAAAACCAATGGGTGGAAGGGCAGGGCCCCAACAAGATTTGGCCCCAGGGGGGGGGGAGGGTGTGTTTTTTTGAATTTTGGGACCCCTGGCGGGGGGGGGGGCATTTTTCTGGGGGAACAAATTTCCCAGTAAAATTGGGGGGGGTGGGGGGGGGACGGGTTTTTCGCCCCGGGGGACGGGGGTCAGAATTTGTTTTTTTTTGTTTGGGTGGGGGGGGCCTAGGGGCTTTGAGGGGTTTGGAGTGGGGTAAAAGGTGGGGACCTTTTTTATTTTTTTTTCGTATTGGGGGGGGTTTTGTTCCAGAAAATAACTTTGTTTATTTTAACATAGGAGGGGGAAATATAATTTTTGGAAAATGGGCAACGCGGGGGGCCCCAAATACCCCCCCACCCCCAAAGGCGGGGGTTTTTTTTTTTTTGGGACGGCCTTTTTTGGTGTGCGTTTTGTTGGAAAGGGGGGCCCCGAGGTATCTAACTCCGGGTCCAAAACGGGTGGGGGGATCCAAAAAAAGCCCCCCCAAAAAAGGGGAAGAGGGGGACCGGGCATTGGGGGGGGGGGGCTTTTCATCGGGTAATCAAAAACAAAAAATTAAGGGGGGCCGCGGGTATTGGGGGGGGGGGGGGGCCTCACCCCCATTGGTAGGTAGGAGGGATAAGGATGGGCTTCTAATCCCCGAAAAAAAGGGGATAGTTTAAAAGAAGGGGGGGGAAAAGGAAAAAAAATAATAGTTTTTTCCTTCTTTAAAAAACATAACCACACAAAAAATAAACATAAAATTCCCACAACCCCATAAATGTTGTTCCCGGGGGGGGGGGGGGGGGGGGGGGGGGGGGGTCCCTTTGGTTATGGGGGATAAATCATAAGGCTGTTTAGGGGTTTCACTCTGTTTTTGCCTAGCTAGTTTTTTTTTAAAGTGTTTGTTAACTTTTTGAGGTGTTTTTTTTTTTTTTTTCTTATGGGAGGTAAAGTAAATCGGTCTGGTGGGTTTTAATTATAAAAAAGCCCCGTTGGAATTGTTAGGGGGGGGGGGGGTTCCTGGGGGGCCAGTTTTTTTTAACCTGGGTCGGAAGGGGGGAAATCTTCCCTTCCCGGCTCCCAAATAAAGCTTGGTGGTTTTTAACAAACCCCCATTCTACCCCAGGTTTTGTAAATTTTTATATTTAGGGGAAAATTTTTTTTTCCCATTGGTACTTTTTTGTCCCACATTTTTTTTTTATTTTTTGTTTCGTTGTTTTTTACCAATTAAAAAGTGGGGTTGCGGTGTTTGTAACATTGGGGGGGGGGGGGGATGGGGGGGGGGGGGGGGGACAATACAGGAATTTTTTTAAAAAAATATAGGGGAAATAAAAATAATATTCATTATAAAAAATAATCTAAATACCAAAGGGGGACTTGCCGGGGGTAGTTGGTGGTTTTTTTTTTTCTTGGTTTCCAAAAGTGGCCCAGTTAAGGGGTTTTTTTGGTTTTTGGCCTTGGGGGTCCCCTATGTAAAAGGGGTAATACTAAAAAAATACAAATCTAAAACAATGGGCTTTTCTTTTTTTTTCTTCAAAAAAAAAAAACCAAAAAATGCTATCCATCTTTGGGCCTTGGTTGTTTTTTTTTGTTGGTTTTTTGTTTATTAAACTTCTTTTGCCTGGGAAAACAAAAAAAATAAACCACATTTACCACTTTTTTTTTTTGGGGCGTAAATCCTTTGTTTTGGGACCCCCCTCCACGGCTTTTTGGGCGGGGGTGGGGGGGGGGGGGGGGGAACAAGGAGGGGGTGGTTGTTCAAAAAAAAGGGGGGGAGGTTTTTGTGTTGTTAAATAAATCTTAACTAGACAAAAAGGGGAAAGCGGGCCTTTTTTTTTGTTGTGGTTTTTTTGCCGTTAGGGGCTACTTTGTTTTCTTTAAGGGCTGTTTATTTTTTTTCTGTTTTTTCCCGTTTTATATGGTTTCTCCTTTTTATCGTTTTTTTTGTACATAAAAAACGGTGGGGTTTTTTTGTTGGACCAACCCCCCCAAACTGTATTTGGGATTCTGGTTTTTTAAAAAACCAGGGGATTTTACCAAATGGTTATCAAAAAATAATTTTTGAGTCCCCCCACCCCAACACTATAATCCATTTTCTGTTTTCGGCACCCCCCCCACCCACCCCCAACCCCTGGTTACAAAAAAAGGTTTCCACTTGGCGGGAATAATTTCTTGCGGGTGGAGAAGCCAGGGGGGGGTTGGGGTTAAACTGCGGTTCCAAAAACTGATTTATTTCGGTATGTGTATTTAAAAAAAAATAAAAAACAAAAAAAAAAAAAAACGGTCTTTTTGGGTTTTGGGGTAAAAAACCATTTTTACTTTTTTTTTTTATTTCCTTTTTTAACCCCCACCCATACACCAAAACAAAAAAAAAATCATTTTTTTTTTCTTACGGCCCCACCACACCAACAAAATTTTTTTCTTTTTTTTACGGGGGCCAACCACAATTTAAACACAAATATTTTCCTTTAGTACGTATCCATGGTTTTACAACATAATTTCTATTTTTGTTTTACCCAACACGCCCCCAAACAAAAAATTTAATGTTTGTTCCTTTTTTACACCCACCCCCAACACACCAAATCAACCAAAAATATCATATATGTTTTTTTTTGGGTATTTTTTTTTTAACGGCAACGGCATTTACTATTCCTTTTTTTTTTTTTACGGCCCCAACACCCCAAACCAAAAAATTCTGTTTTTTTTTACGGCCACCAAACATCACCAATAAAAATTAATTTTAAATTTTGGGGAATAAACCCCAACATAAAATTTTAAGGGGCTTCCCACTTTTAGTTGTGTTTTTTACAAAAAAATTGTTTTTGCCTTTTTTTTTTCCCTTTTTTTTTTACCCATTTAAAGGATAAC